AGCCGGCGGACAGGGCTCGCAATCTGAAGCAATTCATCCAAAAGGTGACGTCCAATGAGAAGGTGATTGAGGAGCAGCAGCGCTGGCAACTGGAGTTCGACAAGAATCTGGTGCGCGTGAAGGGCCGAGTGTTGCCGTGCGAGCGCATCATTATGCAGGGCGACACTCCCGACACCGGCGCCCAATTCGAGCAAAAGTCGGGTGACTTCGGGCGCCAGATCCGCTCCAAGAGGCTCTTCAAGGGCCTGTCAGTCAATAAGTGGCACATCATCTACACGAAGAGGGATGAGGGCCTACTCCAAGAGTTTCTGAACGGCTTGAAGAAGGTGTCGACGCCCTTAGGGGTGAATCTATTGCGCCCGTCGCAGGAGTGTCTACCCGACGACCGGATCGGTACGTTCGTGAGGGCGTGCCAGCAGACGGTGGCGCCCATGGAGCTGGTGGTCTGCATAGTGCCGAACAATAATAAGGAGAGGTATGACGCCATCAAGAAGATCCACTACTGCGAGAACCCGATGTCCTCGCAGGTGGTGGTCGGCAAGACGTTGACCAAAAAGCAGGGTCTGCTGTCGGTGTGCACCAAAGTGGTCATCCAAATGGCCACGAAGTTGGGCGCCGAGCCCTGGGTTCTCAAGATTCCGGTCAGTTGTGTGTGTGGTTTGGGTGTGTTTTGTAGGTTTTTGTTTGAATTGGTGTTTGTTTTCTCGTTTCGTTTCGCAGCCGAAGAGCATAATGATTGTCGGATACGACACATACCACGACTCGTCCCAAAAGGGCCGCTCCGTCGGCGCCTTCGTGTGCAGTATGAATGAGCACATGAGCTCCTGGTTCTCGAGGGTCGCCTACCACGACACCAGCGAGGAGATGTCGGCCAACTTTGCCATCAATATTCAGGGTATGTTTGCCATTGAATTGGTGTTTAAATGACTAGTTTTTTCAATTGATTTGTGTGTTTAGAGGGCATTAAGCGCTACTTCGAGGTGAACCGTCAATTCCCGAAGCGAGTGCTGATCTACAGGGACGGCGTGGGCGACGGTATGATTCAACACGTGTTTGAGTACGAGCTGAAGGCCGTGCAGTCGGGCCTCAAGAAGATGTACCCGGAGGGCGAGATACCACAACTCGCGTTCGTGATCGTCACCAAACGAGTGAACGCCCGCTTCTTCACCCAAGAGGGCAACACTCCGCCCGACAATCCCATTCCCGGCACTATAGTGGACACTACGGTGACGCGCGCCTGTCGTTACGACTTCTATCTGG